AGCTTTTAGCGCACCTTCAGCGAAGCCTTTTGGCACGAAACTGTCACTGCACCAAGCTGGATCTGTCGACACCTCTCCCTGCTGCGCCGCCACACCCATCTCAGCGCACCTCGGTCTGCCAAACTACCAAACTGAGTGCGCCTCGTGTTGCGCTGCTCGAAACTAGCTCTGCGCGGGGTTCGCCACCCTGCGCTGCGCCGGGAAACTAGAGCCCTTTGACTTATTTCCACGCTGCCGACAGTGGGACTTATATTCATTGTGCTGACAGTGGCTTGGAAAACCGCCCATAACTGCGGCTGGAGTTCCTCCAACATTTGCGGTTAGATTATCATATTTTTTTATTGAAAAAAATATAGGCTGCTTCAGCTGATTTTTTTTTTATGCGCACATGTGCCCCTAAATATTTTTTACAGTTCGCACACACGTATTTTTAGTCGAGTGAAACGCTCGCACTGTCGAGCGCTGGATCTGACAGCCTGAGCACATCGTCACAAAATTCTACGGCGTTCTAGATATTTTTTATATCATGAGAATTTAATACTTTCTGCATCCTAAATCTTTTATTTAGAAACTATGGCGGGTCAAATTAAACTATGGCGGGCCGCCATAGTTTCGTTAATTAATGGGAAACACTGAAAAAGGAAACAGCAGAGGCACTTTATCAACCCACTGAGTACTGCCATTAGCATCAAGCTAGCAGAGAATGTTCTTTCTTCATAATGGAGGATATAAAGGAATCAAACTCACAGATAGTGTCTGGGCCGTTACTCAGCACAGCTGCAGAGGCTACCAGCTGCATCTCAAACACACCACATTAGAGACAGGACGTCATTTATTATTCTATTGTTAGTCTGCTTCTATTTGCCACGATAAATGTTCGTGTTCACGTTCATGCATGACGCAAAGTGTGTCGTACTACATTTAAAATCCAACATGGTTGTTGAGGATTGTGATTAAAGGTTTCAAAGGGCTCTTGATGCACACAATATTTGTGAGGAAAGGAAAATACTAAACAATAAATTGTTTTTCTGAGTGTTTTCCCCTTTTTAGACTAGTTGACTCGACTCGTAAAATTTTCCTTAAGTCGCCAGGAACATCCCTAATTGTGACGTCTCACCAGCAGATGGAGACCTGAAACACTGTTCAGTGTCTGTAATATTCATTCATTGTGATGAATAAGAAAAACTTTGTTTATGTCCTGTGTACAGAGCCGGGGTCGTGTTTGAACGCCAGGTGTTTTCCCGTGCAGACAGAAGAGACGGTGAGCGGACTGTCAGCAGAATATAGTCGCTGGATTTGACAAAAAAACATATTGGATTGAAATTATAGATTCAAAGGAAATTTAAAAAACTGAAATAAAACACTGTCAAATTTTTACAAATTTTATGCTACGTTACATTTCTGCTGTACGACGTCATACAGGAACATGTTGTACTTTTTACTGCACTTATGTGATAACTTTAGTTCATTACAAACTGTCAGAGAGAATTTATTGGGTTAAATTCATTCAGTCATTAATTGAGCTCCACCTTTAACGGCCGCAACTGATCAGTACATTCATGCAGGTTATTATTCATAATGAGCACTTTTATTTTGAAGTATGTTTTGATGTTAATACTTTTGTACTTTAAAACACGGGGTGGTCACTTGTTGCAGGGTGTTTCTGCACTGTGAAGTAGAAGCTGTAGAGACTTGTTACTGCCTCTGTGAAATGTTTTTTGTTGGATCAGCCAACGCTCACAGGTTTCTCCGAACATTAAAATGAAAATGATGAGCGCGCCTCAGTTGCTCTGGCTGAATCTGATCAGCTGCCAAATGTCGTGAAATCCATCTGTGAGTATTGGACGTGTGGGAGGAGGTGAAGGGTGTGTCTGTTTGTACAGAGGGTGAATTAAACTCTTTGTACTGTTTCTTTAAATGTTGTGGTGACCACACCCAGACAGACTCAGTCCTCTCACACCGAAGCTTTCTGCTTCCTGCCTCGTCCTCTTTGTCTGCCGCCCGACTTTCTTTGTGTCAGCGATCCTCTCGTCTCCTCCTCCTCCTGCTCCTGCTCCTCCTGCTGCTCCCAGTAAAACAGTCATCATCATTTTAATACGTTCCTGAGACAGAAAACTTTCCACTGGTGTGTGTGAGCTGCAGCCATTTTGTGCAGTCTCCCTGCAGCAGGCAGTGTTTACAGTGATGTGTGTGAACAGGTCTGCATGTGTTGGCTGCTCTCCACACTCATCTGCAGCCTGACACTCAACTCCCTCAACTCTCTGTGTGTGCTCTGATTTTCCACCAGCAGCTCATCTCAGCAGCAGAGGGAACAAACTAGCGTCTGCTGGTCGGTCTGAAGAGAAACCCCCCCAAACATGTCAGAAATGTGAATGAGCCCTGATCATCTGTTCACGCTGCGGGGCGTTTAAAGCTTCAGCTGATGATGATTTACTGTCCGTGAACCTCGCTGGGCCTCACGCAACATTCTCTTCTCCTCTGACATTTCTGTGGGAGGTTCGTTGAGATGAGTCGATTCATCAAACTCTCAGGCAGCAGATTTATTTAAACAAACATGCAGTGGGACAGAAATGTATTTCGAGGAGATGTAAAAGAACCACAAGACAATAAAATAATAAGACACGCTTATGGAGGAATCAAAGTAAAGTGAAACAGAGGATAAAAGAGGCTGAAACAGAAGAACACACACACAGCAGAATAAAACTTAGAGTGCTGTGTGAAACATGAAGAAACATATTCCCATATTTAACTTAAACAAAACAAAAACGTGTTTTTAATGGAGCATAAAAATACATTAAAAGAAAATAAAAACAGTGAGTAAAAACAAAATAAATAAGAAGTTAACATTTTAAAAAAAAAAAAAAAACATTAAAAAGAAGTACCAAAATCAACTTAATTAAAGGTTCTAAATCAATAATTAATAATTAAACAAGAACAAGGCTGTAAATAAACACATGAACAAGTGTTTCTGGGTTTGGGACCAAAAACAATTATTTCCTTTTTGTTTTCTGTGTTGAGAATAAATAGTGATTGGGACAAAAGATGCTACAGTTAGGGGGTCTGAGCTGGACAGGAGCTGACCTGAGACCAGGTTCAGGTCTAGTCAGGTGACAGGTCCTGAAGAGTCCTCACGTCGTTTTCACAAATGTTAAAATGTCTGATGTTTGTGTTTTTCAGGTATCCGTTACAGTACGGACGTGTCTGTAGACGAGGTGAAAGCTCTGGCCTCGCTGATGACCTACAAGTGTGCCGTCGTTGGTGAGTGCACACACACACACACACACACACACACACACACACACACACCTTAAAACCAAGTCTTCCTACAAACAGTCCTTTGAGAAGAAGTGCTGACTGGTGAAATGTCCTCACAATGCAGGAATGTCCTCACTAGAGTTCTCAACCTGAACCAAACCGACCCATTAGCCGTCATTATGTCTCAGTTAAAGCTTCAACTCTTAATAGAGGCCCCACAACCTGACCTGCACCCCTGATCAAACCCCCCCAGGCTCCAGTCCCTCACATGAAGCAGGTTCTCCGTCTCTTTGACTGGATGGTGGAAACATTCAATCACTGCCAGGTTAGGAAACATGTTAGCATGCTCCTTCCACCACCGTCAAACTTCCAAAGCCTGAACTTGGCCCGTCCAAGGTTAACGATAAAATACAGAGCTTGAGCCCAACCAAGCAGCTGCTCCTCCTAAAGATGGCAACAGATGCACCCATCGATCGGCTGGTGTCAAGAATCAGCTGATTGTCAGCTTGGTCGGTCGTGACGGTTCACCAGCTGGTCAGTCTCAGACGAGTAACGCTAAAGTGACGGGAGAAGTTGTGGCGGACAAAAAGAAAATCAAACATGCTAGACTTTCTGTTAGAACGTCGTGAGGCATCCCAAACGTGGCGCTGGTCGTCGTCTACTGTGACACACCTCACGAGATAAAATGATGGATTAATCGTGTACGACACTCTTTGTCATTTACGATCCAAGCCAACATCCTGCGACTCTGCATCAGGCTGGTGTCGTGTCGTCTGAACCCGACGTTAGAAAAAAGAAAATCAGAATGGGCAGGTCGGACGCTGCAAACATCAGAAGAGGCCAAGAAGAGTGCAGCTGCTGCGTCTCTAATAGTGATCCAATCCCTCATCTACACACACACACACACACACACAGATGCATACAAGGAATTTTCTTTTTGGTGCATGAAACCAAACACAGTCAGAGAAAATAATACAAGACAGGTTTATTTGTACAGAACATTTCATACAGCAAGTAATTAAAAACAAAATAGGGACAAATACAATAAAAGAAAATAAAAACAAGAAGCAAAATCAACAAAATCAATATTTAAAAATCAGGGAAAATCTGAATCAGAAGCACTTTATTGATCCCCAGGAGAATAATGTAAGTTCTGAGCAGTTCTGTTTGTAGTTTACAGCAGAGCCATGAAACATAAAACATAATAAAGGGTTCAGATGTACAATAAAAGAGTAAAGAATTAATTACCAAATGATTTATAATTTAAAACAGTCACCAGTAAAAGTAGCAAACGTGCAGACAAGAGGTGCACAGATAAACACATCATTTAAAACAGTGTTTGGAGGAGGTGTAGAAAAGGAGCGTTTTTAGCTTTACTGAAAAGTGTTGAGATTCGGAGCTGTGTGACATCGTCTGGGACGTTATTCCAGGTGTGTTTGGGTCTGACTCAGAGTCCTAGACAATAAGAACAAGTGCAGTGTGAAATGTGTGTGTGTGTCCTATTTGTTCATGTGGTGACACAGCTGTTAGTTGTGGTGTTACATTGTTAATCTGATGTGTTCCAGATGTGCCGTTTGGTGGAGCCAAAGCTGGAGTGAAGATCAACCCGAGGAAGTACTCTGTAAGTTCAAACAAGTGTCTCGTCACTCAGGTTGAACTCATCAGGAGGGCAGCGGTGTGTTCCTTTAACGCCCCCCCCCCCCAAACAGGAAACGCTGAGCCATCAGCTGGCAGAGACTCTCCCTCTCTAACATGATGAGTCGATGACTTTCTGTCTCCGCTTAAATGTTTGCTCGCCCTTCGCTCTTTTCCATTTTCTCTGCTGCAGCAACAACAACACGTCCGTCCTCACTCTGAGGCCTGCTGACCTCTGACCTCTGACATGAAGGTATTCCAGGAATCAGATCAGACCAGTGCAGCGCTGTTCAAAGCATGTGTGACTGTTTGGCCTGTGGCGGTGCACTTGACACCGTGCCTCTGACACAGCCTCAGATTTATCATGATGTTCAGAGAGGAACAGTCGTGAATTATTCTGCAACTTAAAACTTTACTTAAGTTAAAGTAGAAAAGTAAGAAGCCTCTTTATGCAGAGTGTGTTCTAGAATCTGTACTGATATACACTGTGTAACACGTTGAGAACAAAATGACCTAACAACAGTCAGTGGAAACCAAAATCATCAACCCACTGAGGGCTGGATTCAAAATCACACCGAAAATCAAAGTAAAAATTGATTGATCCAACTCATCATGTGACTCAGTAGTGTGTACGGCCCCCACCTGCCTGTATGACCTCCTGACAACATCTGGACTCCTGATGAGTCAGTGGATGGGGTCCTGGAGGATCTCCTCCCAGACCTGGATCAGGGCATCAGTGAGCTCCTGGACAGTCTGTGGTGGACGCACCGATACATAACGTCCCATAGGTGCTCAGCTGGATTTATGTCAGGAGAACGAGAGGGCCAGTCAATGGCATCAATGCCTTCATCATCCAGGAACTGTCTACACACTCTGGACACATGAGGCCGGGTCCTGCACCAGGAGGAACCCAGGGCCCTCTGCACCAGGAGGAACCCAGGGCCCTCTGCACCAGGAGGAACCCAGGGCCCTCTGCACCAGGAGGAACCCAGGGCCCACTGCACCGGGAGGAACCCAGGGCCCACTGCACCAGGAGGAACCCAGGGCCCACTGCACCGGGAGGAACCCAGGGCCCTCTGCACCAGGAGGAACCCAGGGCCCTCTGCACCGGGAGGAACCCAGGGCCCTCTGCACCAGGAGGAACCCAGGGCCCTCTGCACCAGGAGGAACCCAGGGCCCTCTGCACCAGGAAGAACCCAGGGCCCTCTGCACCAGAAGCAGCTCAAGTTCATCTTATTTAATAAATAACTGTTGACCTTTTTGTCCAGACTGGTTCTCCATCATCCTCTGACCAGTATGATCTTTATTATATGACATTCTATAATCTGGTGAACTCTACAGAAACTGTTGTTGTTCAATATTTTTATTCTTTGTGAGTGTGAGATGTTCAGATGAAATCAGTCTCATGGAGTGTTGTCTGTGTGTTTTCAGGACAACGAGCTGGAGAAAATCACCAGGAGGTTCACCATCGAGCTTGCCAAGAAAGGCTTCATCGGTGAGTGAACGACCTCCAAAACTCTCAGAGTCATTTGAATGAAAATCACCTGGGCGGGCTAAATGTTGAAGGCGTGTCTTTAACTGATGTCGGCGTGTCTTGAGTGATGGCGTTTAAAAGCAGCAGGCTGATCCACGGCTGAAGTCCCTGTTATTGTTGCTGCAGTGAAACATCATATTGTCAAAACTCATGTTTTTATTGAAGGAAAGTCTCTAACAAAGCGCAGGTAATTCAGTGATAAACACATTTCATTTCCTGTAGATTCTCCACAATAAAAGTCCCCTGTTATTTTGTGGTGGAACACCGTGAGGGAAGTGCTTTTAATTTGACACAAACATCCACTTGGACTGATGAACAAACTGATTAGAATTTTAGTTTTCAAAGGTCAGTGTGACCTCATTGGTCTCGTTCTTGTTCTCTTGAACATATTGGATTTTGGGGGTCAAAGGTCAAGGAGGCTGTGTGACCTTGTCTGTCTCATTCTTGTGAATGTGATATCTCAAGAACATCTTGAGGAAATTTCTTCTAATTTGGCACAAACATTCACTTGGATTCAATGATGAACTGATTAGAATTTTGGTTGTCAAAAAGGTCAGTGTGACCTCATCGGTCTCGTCCTTGTGAACGTGATATTTTAAGACCACAGCCAGGGAAGTACTTTAAATTTGGCACAAACGTCCACTTGCCTTGAAGAATGAGCTGTTTAGAATATTGTGCTCAAAGGTCACTGTGATGTCACAAAACATGTTTTCATCCATAACTCCAGAATTCATTCACTAATTCTGACCAAACTTGACACAAATGTCTAACAGGATAAAATAATGAAGGTCATCATCATGTTTTAACGTCATATCTCAGGAACAGAAGGGGAGACATTTGGTCAGATACTGAATTGGTGACTCTAATCTTGAACCTGTGCTGATTGTATAGATCTTCTGTGTGTGAAGCATCCATGTTTTCACTGACATGGATGGAGACTGGAACTCGGTGGGGCGGTAATTCTAGTCGTATTTATTTTAATTTGTTGATTAGTTTAAATATTTTTATGCAGTTTGTAAAGAGCATTTCTGAGGAAACAACACAGCTGAGAAAGAACAACAGAAACCCAAAGCTTTAACCCTGTTTAACACTGAGACACCTGACAGGTGTGTGTGTATAATCACTGGTTGTGTTGTTGGCGTCTCTGTGGCTCTGCAGGACCTGGTATCGACGTTCCTGCTCCTGACATGAGCACCGGAGAGAGGGAGATGTCCTGGATCGCCGACACCTTCGCCACCACCATGGGACACTATGTGAGTGTCAGCTCTCACTGACGATCTGCATTTACTGTCAGTAAAGATGATTCATTCACATGAAAATGTACAAAAAGAAAAACATGAACGGGGCCTGATATTTTTTACACTGCTGGAGCATCCAGGTGAAGACGAGGGAACTCTCTGAGTGCACACGATGCTCAGTGTCTTTTTTTTAAGCAAACACAGAGAAACAACAAATAAGAGACTTTCTTCTACAGAATCCAAAGTGCAAATAAATCTCCTGAAATCTCTGCAGCCTAAACAAACTCCAGACGTTTACACTGAGCTGAGAATCGTTGCCGTGGTAACACAGGAAGTGCAGTTGTTTCTGTTTTCCTCCGCTGCCCTTTCACTTCCTGTGTTTGGTTGTTTTTTTTGCATGTCTACGTTAATGACTCAGTGGTCACATCACAGAGAGGAGAAAAGATTTTAGACAAGTTGTTTGTGATGTGAAAACAAATACAGCAGAGACACAGAAGGTGATCGACTGATAAATCCAGACAGTCTGTGTATTTTGGATCAGTTTGAGTTCAGCTGCTGTGTGTGATTTAACTGGGAGCTGTAGTACCTCCAGAAACCAGACTGAAGCAGACAGATAAGCCTGTGGTGCGTTCACAGAACTCACGGCCGCAGTAAAGAAAGTCTTTTTGTCTTGTTGCTTCACACTTGAAATCACAGCTGTTGTTGTTGTTGGTTGTTGGCAGTCAGACCCCCTCATCCTAATGTCTCGGGGACCAGTGTCTAAGGTAAAGCTCCTCCTCTTAAAGTCTGCTGGGATCTGTAGGGTTGGGTTCTGACTCCCTGGGTTTGTCTGCGGGAAACCCCACATAAGCCCCGTCTCCACCAAACCCTTTCAGTCCAGCACCTTTGGAACCAGCAGTAAGCCTTCAGACATGGTACCTAGACCCTCGGTGTGTTCAGACAGTCCTCTTAAATGTGGGCGGGGTTGTTGTCACTCACTGCTCCGTCCAGCACTCGCTGTATTTCCTCATCAGCGGTGACACAGATGGAAGTCTGCACCTGGTTTATCGTCCACAGAACGAGGCTGCACGCCCACATTTTCACAACAAAATAGAACAGGCTGCAGTGAGAGTCTCTCTCCATGGGATATTTAAAAATAGCAGCTTTGTGCATTTAGTCCTTCTCAGGCAAGCTCAGGGGTTTAGTGTTGCTGTAGCCCACAGGAAGTGAGGATTAGAATATATGACCTTCACATAATCCGCTCCAAATTAATCTATATTTTTAAAGTCATTACTAAAAGTGTGTGTCATATAAAAACTAAAGTGATGGTCAAAGTTGTCACAGTGAAATTTAAGGTGTGCTGATGGATTCACGTCATCAACTCATGCATTGAGTAACATTACAAGTTAACGTTCCACCTTAAAAGTTGCCGGCAGTCGGCCCAGTGAATGAAGTTATTTTTTTCTCTTTCATTTTATAGTTGTAGTTTACTGATGTATGAACAGAGGTTACATAAAACCAGAGTGATCGTCCTCTACTGACCAATCAGACTGCAGGGTTTCTAGCTCCACCTTTTAGTACCAGATCTGTGTGCTAGGTACCCCAACAGAGGGGGGACCAAACATGGGGACGCTAAGGAACGCTTCTGTTGGTACAGAACTGGACTGAACTGTTCGGTGGAGACGGGGCTTTCAAACAGCTTACCTTGGTGTCTGCTGGTACCTGGGATGTAGGAGGGAGTGTGTCTTTACCTGTTTTCTGATTCAGGCTCCGCCTCCTCAGAAAGGTGTGATCAGATACTTAGCAGACGTTTCTTATTGTTGTCCACTGTGCACGTTTTTATTGTCATCCAATATCTTTATTTTTTATATCATCCAATTTCTGTTATTAATATCGTCTAATATCTGTTTTTTATTATCCAATAACTGCGTTTTTTATCTTGCAATATTTAAGCTTTTTTACTATTAAATATAATCGTTATTACATCCTGATATCAATGTTTTTATCACCCAGTGTCTACATTTTTATCATCCAATATAAATGATTTTATAGTCCAATATTAATATTTTTTCATTTGATATCAGCTTTTTTATTGTCTAGTGCATCTACCTATTTTATCCTGCATTATTCACATTGTATTTTACTATTAAATATCAGTGTGTCTTGCCCTTCCATATTTTCATTTCTACCATCTACATCAACATTTTTTTATTGTCCAATATCTGTATTTTATCCAGCAATATATATTTTTTACCACTCAGTGTCGTTGTTTTACCGTCCAATATCTACATTTTTTTAATGTCCAGCATCTGCGTTTATATTGTCAGTCATTTATGTTTTTAACCCGTCATTATCAGCATTTTTTGTCAGATTGAAGTTTTTAATCTCCAATATTTACATTTTTAACATCTTAAAAATTGTTTTCTATTGTCCAGTATCAATGTTTTTTGATTGTCTATAGTCTGTTTTAAACGTCTGATATTAGTGTCACTTTTCGTCCATTGTCTGGTTGTGTTTCCTCTTCAGGACATCAACGCTCACGCCTGCGTCACCGGGAAGCCCATCAGTCAGGGAGGAATCCACGGTCGCATCTCCGCCACCGGCCGAGGAGTTTTCCACGGCATCGAGAACTTCATCAATGAGGCGGCGTACATGAGCCAGCTGGGGATGTGTCCCGGCTTCCAGGACAAGACCTTCGTCATCCAGGCACGCTCCCTCTTCTTCACATTTACACAAGCTGGTTATATACGTTTGTGTTTTTAACTTTAGTTTGCATCCACGAAATGAAAACTCTTCCTCGCCTCACCACTGTTTCCATCATCGCGTCCTCATGTGATCCCTAAAATCCTCGCTGATGAGTCATCGGTGACTCAATCAAAGCCACAAGTTTTCCCCCAGTTAAATTACAGTCAGAGCGACCCACAACACACAGACCTCTGGATTTTATTATGACACAGTACGCTGAGGTTTCTGGTTTCAGCTCACTGAGAGACAGACTTAGTGTCTGCTAACACTGTGCTCTTGAGCAAGAGAAGCTTAAACTGTAACTCCGTCTGATGAGCAGCGTGACACACAGGAGGAGTGTTGTATCATCCAGGGTGTGTTTGTCTGCCGCCATGTTAGCAGCTCTGTAAAGCTTTGCTTAGAGACAGCAGTGCTTTGAGCTAAATGCTAACACCAGCATCAGGCCCCCAGGAATGCTACTTAGCCTGGCTTCCAGTTTTTCCCAGTGGCCACTCGCAGTACTGCAGCAAAAAAATACCCAAAAAGCATTTTCCCCATAGACCACTGTTATAACACCGACGTCTCGATGATGTCACAGTGACATCATGTTGTCACCTGGAGGTGCAGCTGCCTCTCCCCCACAGGGCTGTAGGCTACATAGGAGTGTTAAAATGTGTTTCTTTGAATATTGGATTTCTCTGCAACGCTAACTTTTTAGCACATTAGCTAACGTTAGCTTCCATAGCAAAACAAACAAGTGTGGTCCTTCTTTGTAAGATTGGCTTCCTGTGACATCATCCATCCACTGAGTGAGAGCATACGGGTCGGCCAGTCTGGTCCCGTTGGTCACCGTTTACTTATTCAAGTAACACGGAGGTTTTAGATTTATTTAAATATCCTGGAGCTGAGAACAGAGATTTAAAATCTGTGATGTCATCAAAATGTAAAGTCTAAGAGCAGAGCAGGAACTCATGGGGGGAGCCAGAGAAGAAACATGACCGTGTATATTCAGTTGGCCACATACCACGAAGAAAACTGGGAAGCTAGAAAGAAATATTGGCGTATGCACCAGGCGAGCAACTCCACTGGACTGAACTGGCGCCATCTTGAGGTCCAGCTATACGTCTATGATCAACATGCTAACAATGACACCTGGGCTGGGTGGGTTTTAATTTACCCTCTATTGTGTCTGCAGGGTTTCGGTAACGTGGGTCTTCACACCATGCGTTACCTTCATCGTTTTGGGGCAAAGTGCGTCGGAATTGGAGAAATGGACGGAAACATCTGGAACCCCAACGGCATCGACCCCAAAGAGCTGGAGGACTACAAACTGGTCAGTACTGGTGACAAATAAACATATAGGACTACAGACTGGTCAGTACTGGTGACAAATAAACATATAGGACTACAGACTGGTCTGTACTGGTGATAAAGTAACAGACTGGAATAAAGATTAAATATTGCAGCTTTAAATTGAGAATCAGCAGACATTGATTAAAACGACAGAGCAGTGCGCCACCTGCTGGAGCAGCAGTGTCGTCTCATGTTAAAACCAGCAGAAGGTTTAATGTACGTCTGTTTTATAATTCTGACTTCTGTGTTTAATCTCACCTTGTTTTTGGGGGGATTATTGTGAAATAGCCTCTGTAACACCTCCATTTCAGGATCTATTGAACTAACTTTATTTATCCTCTGTCTCCAGGACAACGGGACCATCGTGGGCTTCCCGAACGCCACGCCGTATGAAGGAAACATCCTGGAGGCTGAATGTGACATCGTGGTCCCTGCTGCCAGCGAGAAGCAGCTGACCAAGAGCAACGCACACAAGATCAAGGCCAAGGTAACACACACACACACACACACACACACAGAGTCAATAATCTGATCATTTCTCCAGTTTAATGGATCATAACATGATATTTTTTTGAGTTTTAAACATTCGTCAAGCTGAAATTAAAGTTTGGAGAATCAGCTTGGACGTTTGTCTGTGTGTGTGTGTGTGTGTGTGTGTGTGTGTGCGTGCGTGACCTCAGACTGACTGCTACAGCTGGTAGATGACCCTGTGATGATAAGGCTCTGTTTGTATTTACACTAAACTAAACGTCACCAGATAATGTCATAAAATAAAATGTGTGACACTGAAGTTTAAAGATGAACTCGACACTGCTGCAGGAGCCGGTTTTACACAGAGATCACACTAAAGCGTCCAAATCGACGTCCCGTCTTTGCGCCGCCTTTGCATTTTTACACAGAACCAAATGATGGCAGCGCCACGCCGCTCCAGTGTGTGATTGTAGACAGCATGCAGGGGTTGTACCGAAGACTGTTTCCCTAAACCTGACCCACACCCTCAGCCCATTTACAGCTGCTGTTCTTCTTCGTTGAGTTAGCTGCTAACTGCTGTTCGCTGTGTGTGACGGTGGGTCGTTGTACACAGCTAGCACACGTAACGTGTCATCAAACCGTCACACCTGTCTCGTCCACGGTCCAAACTGACGTGGTGTCTGTCCTGCTTTCAGATCGTCGCTGAGGGAGCCAACGGTCCGACCACGCCCGAAGCCGACCGCATCTTCCTGGAGAGAAACATCATGGTGATCCCGGTAAGTGGACGCCGATAACAACGATCAGATGTCAACGTTAAATCTCTTTTTAACGTCACAGGAAAATCTGACTAATAAAATTTTATTTGATTCTGTTTCCACCGCTCCTCTCCTCTCCTCTCCTCTCCTCTCCTCTCCTCTCCCCTCCTCTCC